TTGTTATTATTATTATTTATTATTATTGTTATGGACACACACAATGCTAAATATGTAAATATTAATAAAAACGAACGGTGACGAAATCGGATAATCTCAAGGCTACGATTTAGCACCTACATTGTAGACATAGGTATAATGTCGTATAGTGTCGTCCTCGTCCAGCGGCGCGCGTGGGAATACGTTCGTTTTTCCAAGAACACCGCTGACGGTACGAGTCCGATTTCAATTTTCCACTCCGTGTAATCAAAAATATTATTGCGATTCCGAGATATTTTTTCGTGTAAAATTTTTAAATTGTTGTCATAGAGTTCTTCTATACCTGACCTAGTGTTTTCCATAGCTCATAACTTACCTACATCACGCTATTATCCGCTCTCCCATCGTAATGCGATAAATGCGTCTACTTATATATAATATTCCAAGTGTACAATTTCATGGATACAATACAGTTAGCGCATCGTCAGCAAAAAATTATTCGGACACATTTTTGTCCCACACTATAACGCACCGTGTGCATTATTTATCATTCGAATTTCGAAGTTATTTTTCACGCAATTATGCATAGGCACTAGCTAGATAATTCTCTCAGTCATAAACATATATCATAACTGGTAAGGTAATGGGTTTAGTGTCCTGGTCGGTAGTCGGTTGAACTGGATCAGGGCAGTTGCAGACCGAGGTCCTCACCGTATTGAGGTGGCAAGCAGGAAACTGGGCATTTAACATTTATTTCAAATTATTTCATGATCATAATAATTGATAATAAAAATGTACCTACCCATATTTTACTCTTTGTTTATGAAGTCAAGGCCGTTGGAAATGTAATCTCTAATCGTAAATTGCTGTGCATTTTTGTAACAAATAAAGTTAATTTACAAGTTTGTATATTATAAATATTATTATGTTAAGTCTTGGATACATAGAAAAGCATTGGGACTATTTCGATGAAAGTTTTAATTTTTTAATTTTCCCTCCGTTATCCAGCGCGGTTTATCGAAAAAATAAGTCAGCACAGTTTTTATTATCCTTTATAACAATTAATGTTATAATATATTACACACGATCCTTGTATAAAAATAAAAGTGTTTTTTGAAATTTTCTTTTACAATGATATTATGAAAAATTGTCTCATTTCGAGTGAGTGTGTGTGAGGGTGGAGTGGTGGTGGGAGGAGTATGTCTTAGATTCCCGTTAAACTCGCAGCTGCAACGGTTTGTAAATAAGTGGTATTAACACTCGAGCAATATTACCTACCTATATATTATTATTATTCTTCGACCCGCGTTGTCCAGCGGTGCGGCGATCATGTTCGGTGTGGAGTGGGGTTGGGTGAGAAGTTCCTAAACAATATGAAATCTGTATTTTTTCAGACCAAAAAAAAAAAATCCGTGGAAAAGATGACTTAAACATATAGTAGCCAGCCGACTAGCAGCCGACCTGCGAGAGACATGTTACGATAAACATCATCTGATCTCTGGACAAAACTTTGTCGGCTCTTTGCTCGCCGGCGTACCTATACAGATCGGCGGCGATAGATAAGGACTCACACGCACGCACGCGGAAAACGGGGTCTGCCCCCGACCGGCGTATACCTCTACGTATATATATATACATAAATACCTAAGTATATAAATATATGTACAAATGTATACACACTAACACGCTTACCCGAGTTCTTTGAAATGCCTAAGTAATAATGATAATGTGTGTTTATATATAAAGGTATGTATCTGTATATTATATATTAACGAGTGAGTACTGAGTGGTACCATACTCGCCACCGAAGTCGTATGACCATTATTATTATTTATTACTATCACATTCTTCGACTCTATGATATTACTATAGTGCGTACCTGCCTAAATAATATTATTATATTATACCAAAGTATTATTATTTATGCTGCACTGGACCAAAGGTGCAGACGTCGAGTGACCGTCACACGTCTCTCCAGGTAAACAGGCCATTATCGCGAACAATGTGATGGATATAATAATAGTATGACCGATGCACCCTCGTCCAGTTGTCGTCTCGTCACGAATACATTTAGGTATATTTTTCCAAAAATTTGGACCACAAGATTCTCAGTCTTGCAGTGAACTTACTACCTATAGCTTATAATCTTATATATTATCTTGTATATTATATTTATAAAAATGAAGTCTTCAGCGAGCGCTTGAGTAGAATTTTAATATAATTTTTTTTCCTGCCTCGTAGCCCCTGTGGACTACGCAAATCGATTCCGTTCGCTGAAATTTTGTACGTGCTTCGAAATCCCCTCCGGTCGTCGCTGAATACGTACGCGAGATGACGACAAAAAAATAATGCGCCCTTTTCTCACTGTCGCTCCCCGCGGCATCCTTCGGATTCCGCAGACACTTTTATCATTATTATAGACTTTTATTTTATTAGTCTTTATACCCCCATAAAGCGTCTACTCCATTGCATTATGTAAATACTCAATATTGCTGCAGCAGACGGGGGCACGAGGTTCAAATTAATTAATATTTGTCGTCAACGAGCATCATCCCCGACAAAAGCGTTTCACGGAGCATACCTCCTGGATCCTACTTATATATATTACATGGGATTTAATATTTATAATAACATTATGACGTGACACCGACGAAAACTACGTGCAATATTGTGAATGGTAAATATTGTAATTTGTCAATATAGATACTATACAAATTATTGTACACATACATTGACGGGACAATAATATAATAAACGATTTTTACATCAACCGCGATTTATTTTTAACGAACATTACTGCACCAGTACCGTTTTCATTTTATATACAGGCACATCTGGTATTCGAAAAAATGCTACAGAATAAAAATACTGTAAAATAATCCCTGACTGCATGAAAAACACCCTGGAAACCACTACCAGGAAAAAATATAGGTAAGAAAGGTAGCCTAGGTAGCAGCTGAATGCTATTGTATTGCTAATTGTAGCTATACTTGTAGTATATTATAGTAAATATAAGTTTTAGTTTATAAAATAATTAGAAAGTAGTTTCTATAGTAAGCCATAACATTGGTAAAGAATGATATTGAATTATTTTTAATTTATATAGACATAAGCGAATTGTTTGTTTATGTTTATTATTTTATTTAACTAGTATTTACATATTATATTATTATCTATAAAATGTGATAATTGACAATGTATGATAATGATATTATAATGCGTTTATGCAGATTTCAGTTAAACTGATATTACATAATACAATAGTATACCTACATAGGTTTATTTACTATAAGAATAACCTACTGCTTATTAGTTGTACTTCATAATATACAGCATAATATAGAGAAGATACAGCACATCAAAAGTATACTAAGCCCTTGTACAGTTGTACCAGATACTCTGATAATTTGAATTGGGGGAAAAAAATTCTCAGTGTAAAAATCGATAAAACTATTATGTAGGTATGTAGCAGTATCAAAATAACAATAAATCTTTTTCTTATACGCAATAATTACATTTTTTTTTAATAATACAACGAATTCATAAATAGGTAATATATAACAATTACAACAAAACGGTTAAGTACAAGCAATAATGCATTGTATATTATAAACTCATTAATTTAATAATAATAAATAATATAATATATTGTATATAGTATAGTACTATTATACCTGTATATTTTAACTCAATGTTATATTTATTATGACAATTATTAATATATTTTTTTTTTTTTATTGATCTTTAAAGCCCGGCGACCCGACACCATGGTGACTTGTTCGAAGAAAAATGCCGCCCGTGGCCAAGAAATCGAACTCGGGTCGTGCAGCCGACGCCTTAGTGCGTTGGCCACTCCGTCCCCCAATTAATTGACAATTTATTAGTTTTCATACTTTCTTTTAATATTAACAATACATTTTTTGTATTTTACTAATAAAATATAATATTTAGGTATAATGGTACTATTACTATAAAATTTTAAAAATTGATTAATTTTTGTACAGTTTTCTTCCCGAGAAGGGAAGATTTTTTTCTTGGTATTTTTCATGGCTATTTTTGTTCCAAATACCTAGAACCTTTTAATATGCGTTGTTATTAGATACTAGCTTATCCCGATAACTTCGTTGCCCTTAAAAAAATTGCGATTGTTCAACTACTTTTGGGTGCCACTCAGCCTCCCAGCAGGCAATCCGACTGCGTCGGATCGCGGAAAATGTGCGATAGCATATCAAGTAGGCAAATATTTGATTTGATGCATTATGCTTGCACCTGATCTGCCCTATTAACCAATGGCAACCAAAAAAAAATACGTATGCTAATTTATTAATATTTATTTATTTCTTCTAAAACCAATAGCCAATATAAACAACAATTTCCACCGAAAATCTCAAAATCCCGATTTGAGCACCTCCCCTGGTGGGGATAACAAACAATTTACAACGATTGGATATGTTGGTGTTGATAATATATTATTGACAGTTATTCCTACATAATATTCGTGAGTTAGTTACAAAATATAGTATAATATTATACATTGAATCGTGGTAGAAAAATAATAGTAATAATGAAAAACTAAACATTCGCATTTGTATGGATAAATTGAATCGACGTCAAGAATTCAATTAAAATTCAAAATAACGTCGAGCTGTTAGTTTTTTTTTTTTGCTCACAGTATAATGATTGGTTTTCATTATTATTTTTAAACGAATCATGATGTTACAACTGTAGGTGATGTTATTATTATTTATTTCGTATGGTAGCAGTATGGTATCAGACTTGGTACAGTACGCCAGTGTACTGTATCAGACTTGGTACAGTACAGGGGCGTCCTCAAGGGGGGGCGAATGGGGCAGTCGCCCCCTCCATGAGCTATTTTTTCTTTCTTAAAATGTTCATAATTTTTATTAAAATATAATACTAGGAAAAAATTATATAAGTCCGCTGATTTAGTAAAACTTACAGAAGATAATGTAGAACTAAAATTAACTGGTATTGTTCTGGGAAATGCTGTTGTATCAATTATGAAAGACATGTCGTTAGACTTAAATAACTGTGTAGGGATTGGAACCGATGGGTGCTCAGTCATGACATCTGTAACACGTGGAGCAGTTGCTGAAATTCAGAAAAACTGTCCCAGTGCTGTTTACAGTCCATGTTCAAACCATGCATTGAACTTGAGCATCTCAAAGTCATCTAATGTACAGTTAGTTAGAAACACTATGGGCATCATAAAAGAAGTTCTATCTTTTTTTAATACATCTTCCAAAAGAAGTTTTGTTTTAAAAAATTGCCTTAAACGCCTTAAACGCTCTATTACTGGATTATGCGAAACACGATGGGTCGAACGGCATGAGTGTATTTTTGAATTTCAAATGTGCTTATCAGAAATTATTGACAGTTTGACTTATATATCTGAATGGATTGATCAAACTTCATCGTCAAAAGCAAAGACACTATTACATAGCAATGTGCTTTTAGATATTGATAATATAATTAATCGCTTTGCTAAATCTAAGCACAAAATAGATTTTATTCTTTGATTTGTACATTTTTTTTTTGCATTTTTCATTTTTCATTCATTAATTCATTAATTTAAATTTAAATAATTTAATATGTACACAAATATTTTAAAACTGTGACTCTGTTAATTATACTTTGTTTTTTGTATCTATAACTATGCCTATGTCGAATGCCCTATTGCCCTAATGACATTACATACCCCGAGTTAAATCAATTAAAACACCTAGTAATTGGTGTATTTTCATATATATATATATAGGTGATGTATGAAGTTCGCCCCCCCCTATAAAAGGGTCTAGGGACGCCACTGGTACAGTACGCCAGTGTATTGTGTATTGGTATATTACTTCATAACAGTATATGTAAAATCCAAACATAATTAATACGTTTTACTTTTTAGTACTCTTAACCGATGTAAAACATAAATATTCTTGTTTTAGGTTCGATAGGCAAAAATTATGGCTACTATCGAGGTAATAATGACATACGTGTCGACATAATACCGACGTGTGTGGCGAATAAAAAGGAAACTATAATTATAATATTATACAACTTGGAAAAATTAATAAACGTTTATGTAAAACGAATTGAAGTAATAATGGTAGCAGTGGCGTAATTTCAGTTTTTATTAGACTAGGGAAATTTTTCACTCAGATTCTCATAGCATAAAGTGGCATAGAGGTAAACGGGGGGGGGGGGCGTGTGGTAAATGTGCTGACTTAAGGTTGATGTAAATACTAGACTAGGAAAAATACCCCAGTTGCCCTCCCCCAAATTATGCCACTGAATGGTAGTACAATATTACGCTGTAGAGCTAGCTAAGGTGGCTGTTTTTTCGGGATGAAAACCTGCACTGGGAACGACAGTGGTCGTACATTATAAATGTATAAATAATAATTAATACAATTTTATTATGACGTATAGCTTTTTGGCTAAGTGCGGTTCCGTATCCTAGCTCTAAAGTCATCGGCAGTCGTAGAGGCACAAAAGGGATAAAAATGTGATATTAAAATATAAAAGCCGAAAAGTATAGACGAAACTCGGTGGGTCGACAATGTCGATTTATAATTACGTAATTCGGAAATCGAGTACCTTTATACATAATAATATTACGACGTGCCATTGGGGCTGCTACCGCCGGTGTGGTATCTCCTCGGACACCCCTCAAGTATATACACGACTCCATATATAGCGTTAAAGGGGTTATGACGTCGGTGGTGGTGGTGTTGTTGTTGTTGTTGTTGTTGTTGTTGTTGCCATCGTCGTAGTAGTCATCGTTCAAAAGGAAATCGATGTGATGTTGATAAATAAATTCGATTCACGACGGGTGGAATTCACTCGGGTATATAGTAATCGGTCAGACGCCGCCGCCGTACTATAATATTTTAATATATATACGCAGCCCTCCCGTTCGTTTGCGCTTTAACAGAAATTATAATGAATAATATATTATTTTATTTTCGAGCGTTTATAATAATTATTTGATATTTCACCCGTCTTGTCACCGTTGTCTGCGCAAAAATCATAATAATATTATAAATATATAATCGTCTCCCGGGGTTGGCGCCAAAACTGGTCGGATGAGAAAAACCAATTCTATGCCGTAGACGGACGCCATCGTCCGAGTGAGTGACAACTGACGATACAATAACAATATATATATATATAATATATATACCTATAATATAATATTATTATTATTATTATTATTATCGGTCGTAGTTAACCGGTGGTCTGATGGTGGGTGAGAAGGGGTGGGTGACTACTGACTCAGTAGGACACCATAGCAGTACCGCACCACCCATCACGACAGTACAAAACACCAGGGGTGGTGGAATTATTGGCCCGGAGATCCAAAGTCAGGCTCGAGGGTGGTCCCATCTTTATGATATTTATTTATTATTATCTTTGGTTGTGTCCTATTTCCGGCTAGAGATAAATTCGAGGTTAAACGTGTAAATACCATTTTTTTTTTAAACTAAGATCTCAGAAAAAAATGTCTCAATAATTTTCATTTTTACCTATTTATTCTCTATGTGATTTTATTTTAACAGAGCCTTGCATGCATTATGATTATAGGTACCTAACCGTATATGTTGTACATGGATCTAGGATAAAAAAGCCACCGAAAAAAAAGCCATGGATAAAAAAGACATGCATTTATTTAACTCTTTTAAACCTTTTTAGATATAGGTATCTATAAGTTATAACCATAAGAAATAAGTCAAATATTTTAAACTATAGGTATAAATGGGCTGCCGTATTTTTTTTGAATGACATTTCTTGGAACAGACGTTTTACAAAAACAATAAATCAATGAATCATACATTAAATACCGTAAATACCGTTTCCGGATATATGGTATAAATACTATAAATATACATTTGAAATATAAAAGATTAAACTGATTAAGGTATATAGCAATAAAAGTCATTGCCATTTGACTTTATCTTAAAACTGGTGTTGGTATCTTAGTGTCTAAAGTATTGTATTATATGTGAACAATATAATATACTATGTGATTGTCTCTATAATCTAATATTATTATAGGTTGACCGAAACCTATATGGTTGGGAAATTGGTAAAATTTTATCTTTTATACACTATTTAGTTTCCGTTATGTGCTCAGTCTGTGTATAGTACAAACGTCGTGAAATAAAAGTGTAAGGTGTTAAAATTTGTAAGAACTTTTTTTGAATTTTTATAATGGAAATTGTCAAAACAAACAAAGGAGGTAGCAAAATTTGTTTTAATGGTCATATGTACGTCATTAAGCATTTGGGGAAAAATAAAATAACATGGCGTTGTATGAAAGCGAGTTCTCTCAAGTGTACAGGGACAATGTACACTGAATTGCAACATGATAATCCTGTAGAAAAAAATCCATATAATCATCTACCTGATAAAGAAGAAATAAAAGTTACTAAATGTATACAAAAAATGAAGGATCAAGTAACTTTTTCTAGTATGATAAATCCTGTAGAAATATTTACGGAAAATGTATCGCAAATAGAAACAGCAACCAAAGCTAGGATGCCCACTGAAGACACGGTAAAACGTATGCTAAGAAGACAACGATCAAAAAACTGTCCTATTAATTCTACTATGATCGAAGGTAATTACAAAATTATTATGAGTATATTTTTGGTAAATACAATAACAGTATAATAAACGTGTATACTCGTATATTTTCCGTGATAAAATTACGTTTATTTAATATATATATATTTTATTAATTAATAATTATTCATAGGTAATTGGTGCACGACTGGTGAGCCTAATTTTAAAAGATTTTTGCTATACGACAATGGTTCAAACTCGGATGAACGTATTACAATTTTCGCCACAGATGACGGCTTAAAATTGTTATCAGAAGCTGAAGAATGGTTCATGGATGGCAACTTTGCATTATCGCCGACGGAATTCCAACAACTATATGTAATACGGATTCAAGTAAAAACAATATTTATTACACCTGTATTTTGCTTATTAAAAAGAAAAACCCAGTCTAGTTACGAACAATTAATTAAAATTTTATTAGAAAAATGCAATGAGAGGGAAATTTATCTTGATCCTCTTATAGTACATGTGGATTTTGAAAAGGCTGTGATTGAAACATTAAAAAATACAATTGGAAACCATATTTGTATTAAAGGGTGCTCTTATCACCTTACTCAAAGCACACATAGAAAAATACAGAATCTTGGACTTGAAAATATGTATAGAAATAATAATGATTTTAGTATATTTTGTAGAAAACTCGATAGTTTAACATTTTTACCAGAAAACAAAGTTTTAGAGGGAATGGATTTTTTAAGAACAATTATGCCACCGGAGGCAACAGATTTAGTCGATTATTTTGATACCACGTATGTCCATGGGTCTTACAGAAGTGTTCAGCATAATCCGAATAATGGTATCAGACTTCGAAATATTGCACCACTCTATCCACCATCAATATGGAATGTCTATCAAACTACCCTTGTTAATGGACATCGAACTAACAACGAAACAGAAGGGTGGAACCATCGTTTTTCAAAATTAGTAGGCCACAATCATCCTTCTATTTGGTCATTAATTAAGAAAATGAGATTAGAGTTGTCTTCAGATGAAACAAAGTTAGCCCAATTCGTAATAGGCAATTTAAGTAAAAAAAAAAAAATGTATGAAAAAATGCAAGAAAAATTGTATAAAATATGTAGTGATGGCTTAACACAGCGGACAATCGACGAATATTTAACAGCTATTGCTTACACAATACGATTATTTTAATTATTTATTATTTTATATTATATTTTTAAATTGTAAATTTTAACTTTTATAAATTATACTTATTATTGTATTCAATTTTAACATTATTATATTATTATTTATTATAAAATGTACAAGTAATTTTGTAGTTGAAAATTCATATGATACTTGATGTAAAATTCGTCTTTTTTATCCATGTCTTTTTTATCGGTGGCTTTTTTATCCTGTGGATTTTTTATCCCATAGCATTTTTATCAATGGCTTATTTATCCGTGGCTTTTTTGTCCGTGGCTTTTTTATCCGGTTACCGTTGTACATTTTTTTTCCTACGTGGAAGACATCTACACAATTCTAAATTAAAAAGATGTTTTAGAACACTCACTTTTCACCATGGATTTACCCCCCCCCCCCCTATTATAACTAATGAGAAACGAAAAAACAACAATTTTATTCTGAATTCCAGTTAACCAAAATTATAAAATATATATACATTTTTCGAAAATATTATATTTATATAGAAAAAAATTGGCAGTTCTTTTGAAAATAATAACGATCCATATGACCATCTACATTCAGTAGGTAGAGTAAGAACTGAGGAGTTGATTGAAGAGATTAAAATATATTTTAAAATTTAAATAGGTACCTAACATAATATAATTTAGAAAAAATGTACCAACGGTGTGTGACGTCCGCGGAGAAACACTCTGTATCGGACATGATCGTATAATATCAAAGTCACATCAGTACCGACATCGTAATAATGTAAATT